AGAGCGAAACTCCGTCTCAAAAAAAAAAAAAAAAAAAGAATAGTTTAATATAAAGTTTCTCAAAATAATGCAGATATCTGCGTGTTCCTCAAAACAATGAAAAAGCATTCAGATTGTGCAGTCTCATATGTTACGAAGAGGACTTTGGCTCTCACTGTAAACTTGAAGGAAGATCAATGAAGGGAAAGTAAAATCCTTAGAGAATTTAAAGCGGAAGAGACAAGGTGGGCCTATGTAAGAACAATAAAACAAGCGCTTAAACACCTCAGGCTTCCCAAAACACATTGTAGGAACTGGCTTTTTTTTTTTCTGATCTCCCAACCTTTCATCTACGTCAACTGTTTTATTCATTCTCACCTACCTGGGGGTGTGGCTACCATACTGTGTCTCTTCATATTCCAGGGATCTTTTCCTTGCTCCAGACAGGTGATCCAATCTGGTGTAGAGACAGCAAGACCTGCTTTATTAAAAATAAATAACATGAATCTTACTCATATTCTCTAATTATAAACCTAGTACAGTGCTTAGTAAAGAGAATGTCGTAGAATATTCTAAAAAATTAATCCCAAAATACTACTTAACGACAGAAAGTTCTTAACATTTAGAAAATATTTTAAATGTATAGGTCCTTAATTTCACTATCCTGTACTCATGAGTCAAAAATTAGTGGTGGCAAATTGATTTTAACATAGGAGCAACAATATTTTATACCACTAAATTTCTGAAATTACCACTACTCTAGAGTGAAGGATACAGATCAGCTCAGGAATGTAAAGTTCAGGCCAAAATACAACATCTTGAAGAAAGTTTTTTCTATGTGAACAATTCCTCAAGATTTCTTGAAAACAGGGATCAGAAACTCATTATACAAAGCATAAATTACCAAAAATTATTCTATAGAGAAATGAAATCTTTAGGATATGTAAGGAATTGTGTATTAAAGTTACTCTCACCCAAGAAGACCAGGTTTCTGTAGTTCTCTAACATCACTTTTCTATACAAATCTTGCTGAGCAGGGTTCAGGCACTGCCACTCCTCCAGAGAGAATTCGATGGCCACATCTCTAAATGTCAACGGCCCCTGAAACACACACACAAACACACACGTATTTACAAATGTCCGGGGCCAGAATTTATCATTTGAATTAAGGTTAAACAAGAGTAAAGAAAATTGGGGCCGGGCGCAGTGGCTCAAGCCTGTAATCCCAGCACTTTGGGAGTCCGAGGCGGGTGGATCATGAGGTCAACAGATCAAGACCATCCTGGTCAACATGGTGACCCCCCCCGTCTCTACTAAAAATACAAAAAATTAGCTGGGCATGGTGGCGCGTGCCTGTAATCCCAGCTACTCAGGAGGCTGAGGCAGGAGAATTGCCTGAACC